TGCTCTGTTTTGCCCCTCCCCCTTTCTGTATAACACTTATATCACAGCACTTATCATCATAACCATTGTTAAGCATGCTGTTCATGGCATTAATGCATTTATAATGCTGTTAGGGCCATTATAACCATCTTTATCTGTGTAGCTCTTTTCATCTTGTAAAACTAAAACTATACTCTTTAAATGATGGGTCCCCAGTTCTCTGTCTTCTCAGCTCCTAGCAACCACTGTTGGTTGTTTTTACTACTCAGGTGTCTCATAAGTGAAATCATAAAGCTCTGTCTCGTGACTGGCTTATTTGACTTACCATGCTGCCTACAAGTGCATTTATACATACATTTACTTTTCACTAGGCATGTTGTTTCATGCCTGGAATCCCAGCACTTGGGAAGCTGAGATAGGGGGATTACCTTAAATTCAAGACAAACCTAGGCTTCAGTATAAAACCCTGCTTCAAAGAAAACTAAAAATAGAAAAACATAATTTCTTTATTTTTAGATAGTAGACTTTGTCTATCCATTCCTCCATGGCTGACACTAAGCTGCTTCCATGTGTTCACTGTTGTGACCAGAGCTACTTTGTTTGTTTGTTTGTTTTGTTGTTGTTTTGTTTTGTTTTTCGAGACAGGGTTTCTCTGTAGCTTTGGAGCCTGTCCTGGCACTAGCTCTTGTAGACCAGGTTGGTCTCGAACTCACAGAGATCTGCCTGCCTCTGCCTCCCAAGTCCTGGGATTAAAGGTGTGCATCACCACACCGCTGGTTACTTTGAACATGGGTGTGCAAATGCCTTTTTGAGCCTATGCTTTGCTGCTTTGGGGTGTATACCCAGAAGTGCAGTTGGTGGTTTATCTCTATAAGTTGCCCAGGCTGACGTTGAACCAGTGATTTTTCTGCCTCAGCCTCCTGGATGCTAGAATTATATGTCCATTGCCACCATGCCTGACTAGTTTTCTTCTTTTGAGGAACTTTCCACAGTAGCTCGTTCATTCATTTTATAATGCCATTAACAGTATGTGAGAGTTCTTTGTCTACATCCTGATCTACATGTTTTCTGTTTTGTTTTTACTTTTTTGAGACAAGGTCTCACCAGCTAGCTCAGGCTGCCCTTGAGCTTGTGATTTCACATGCATCAGCCTCCCAAGTGCTAAGATGACAGGTATGTACCTCACACTGGCTTTTTCTTTTTCTCTCTCTCTCTTTTTTTTAAATGATATCTTGTCATCGGGATTTTATACTGTGCCTGTAAACCTTATTTTTTCTACTTTAGTTCTGAGACTAATTCCCCTTGAGGTAGTGGGCTTGGAATGACAATACTTGAAAGACTAGAGGAAAAGTTGTGGATAACATTGTTTAGCTAATTTTTTTATTTTGGTCAAATACAATGATTTGCAAATATGTCTGAAATTAGGGAAATAAATGTCAGCCTAGCTAAGCCTTTTCGTCTCCTTCATCATTCTTCATTCCTGGCACCCACTGTTGATTGTAATTCTTCATTGCAAGTGATGGATTAATACCTTAGTTTGGCTGTCTTTGGTTTGATAATGGGATGAAAGTTGGTGCTATATTACTGTCTGCCTTAAATATGTCAATCTAGTTGAACTTAGAAAGAAATTTAAAAGGGGCTTTGCCTGTGATACTTGGTGAAATGGACTAAGGTCTTGATTCTCACACCCTTGGTAAGCAAAAGTTGACGAGCTGAATTGCAACTAATAAATACTATATTGCAGTTAATACTGTCATTGTCCTCAGAACTGGTTCTAAAGGAGTGAAGATCTGGGGTGAGTAGGAAGGTGAAAGGTTTTGTCAATTTCTCTTTTTCTGCAGTGTGTCACAAACTTCTATTTTATTATAGACTTTTTTAGATTTAGGTTAGTAGACAAGACATCCTTTACTCTACAGCCACTTTGAACAAGAGTCTTCCAGATGGCCAGCACTGCCCTTCACATGGGAAAACCTGAATGGATATTTTAAATGTTAAACAAGTTTTTGTAGTTAAAAATTTTTAATGTTATTCTTTCCTGTAAATTTTTCCTCAGCATATGTGGTAGTATATACCTGTGGTCCAGTGCTCCAGGGTTGGGACAGGAGGGTGTCAAGGGTAACTTTTTTGCTACTTTATCTACTTTGAGTAAGAAGATATTCAATTTGGAAAACAGCTAAACCAATGCCATTTGAATCTTTGAAACAGATCCTATCTGAATTGGATGAATGAGTGTAGCTGATTTCATCTACATTGATGAATATGCTGTGTAGCTGGTGGCCAGTGGGAACATACTCTGTACAAGAGTCAGACCATCTGTTTTTCTAGAAAACTTGCAAGCTTTGAAAGGTGTCAGTGGTTGTCCCTGAAAAATGAAAAATTCATTTGTAGAATTAGAAAGTCTCCTTTGCTCTCCAAGCTCTTTAATAGTTAGCTTCTGGAATCTTCTTCCTCAGGCTCAGAGCAGTGCAGAGGCTGAAGGAACTGCTTGCTGGAAGTGCTTTGGAGGGGTGTGTCCCAAATTGTGGGTCACTTTCTTTTTTGAGTCTTGTTGGTGTCTGGCAGTATCTGAGGACTCCAGCTGCCATGGGCTCCACTGGATTATTTCAGCGTTGCGCAGCTGTTCCCAGTCTCTGGTCTGTAAGTTCCCTTTAGACATGATGAAGAGCAGCTAAGTGTTTCTGGGTTCCAAGAGCTGCACTCTGGTGTTTCTGGGGAGCTGGGGAGCAGTGAGGCTGGAGAAAGTGGCAGTGGCATAAGAATAGCATGTGTACTGGCCATCCCTGTGAGTGGGTGCTGTCAGGAGCAGAGGAGCTCTTGATTGTACAGGACTCTGGTTGCAGGCTTTTTAAACAGGAGTGATGTTTAAACAGGAGTTTGGATGTATAGAAGATAGCTAGTCTTTTAACATAATTTCAGAATTACAAAAGAGTTTTAAGAGTTATCATATAGCCTTAATTGTAGCACTGGGGAGCAGAGACAGGTAGGGCTCTATGTGTGCCTTGGAAGTGTGCCTGGTGTACATAGTGAATTCCAGGACAGCCAGGACTACAAAGAGAGACCCTGTCTCCAGATTTATATATATTAAAACAAAACGAAAACTCCAAACTACTTTCACCTGATTCCTCAAATGCTGATACTGGCTTTATACTTCACTCTTAACGCTGAACTTGTTGCTCCACACCTCTCATGATGTTGGCGTTTTTTAGACTGGAGGCTACTTGTCATGTGTGTCTTCCCTGGCTATTTTTAATTGGGTCGTATGATGCTTGATTTCCCCGAAACATTGAGGTCTGATTACAGAGACCAAGGAAGTAAGTAAGGTTCCTAGAAGAGATGGGGAAAAGGCCCCCAACCATCTCTGACTGCGCATCCTGGCAGAGGGAGAAGTGTGGTGGCAGCTGGCTTGCAAGCACACAGTTACATACTCTCCTTCCAGCCTTTCTCTGCCTGCTGTGTATGCAGTGTGCTTGTATCCTCGTGGACACTAGAGTACAATGTTGGGTGTCCTATCGCTCTCCACCTTACTCTCTTAAGACAGGTTCTCTTTGAACCTGAACTCACTGTTTATTCTGCTGGACTGGCCACCCAACAAGCTACAGTCACACCTGACTTTTACATAGGTATTAGGGATCTAAACCTAGGTCCTCATGCTTGTACAGCTCTTGTCCACTGAGCCATTTCTCTAGCCAGTCCATCTCCCGTTCTCTTGTTCAGGGGTATGTTTCAGTATAAACAAGGGATTATTATCTCTGAGCTTTAAAAATTTACATACACACACTACGTGTTGGATTGTCACACACACCATGTGACCGTCAGAAGACATTGTGAGAGTGGGTCTTGCCGACGTTGTGGGTTCCAGGGATTGAATTCAGGTCATCAGGCTTGACAGCAATCACTCTTACTCACTGAACCATCTCCCAGCACCTCCCAGGCCAAGACTTTTTAGATCTTGTTTATCATTTCATGGAAAGTCCATGGGCCTCTCTTTACTTGTACTGTGTACAGTGTTTTGACAATAAAGTAGTCTTTTTTGTTAGTACAATCTCTCCCTTGTAAAGCCCAGAGGTGAGGAGGGTGCTGCCAGGCAGTCCAATTACCAGACTGGACTCTTGCTTCTGCTCCTGTTAGCTGTGACCTGTGTGAATAAGTCCTCTGCTGCTGACCTTCCTGCTTAGACCTTTCGTGAGGGTGAATGGACTTAGGTCAGAGAGTTAACGTGTGTCTGTCGCTGTCCTGAGTGACTGCAAATGATTGATTATGACATACTTGCCTTTTCAGAACTGCTTTTATTTATTGACTTCAGATCTTATTTCAGTCAGAAAATGATACATGTAACGGGAGTATGTCTAAGAAGACCTTTAATTTCCCATCTTGTAGGTTGATGGCTTTACAGTTAGTCACTGCTGATGAGATCAGCTGTCTCCTTTGCTGATCCAACAACTTTTTCTCTCTAGGAATGGGATCTGCTGGGAGAAGTACTGACTCTGAGCTAATTTGATTCTAAATATTAAGGAAGTGGGAGTGGCGACAGGAAATGGGAGCCAACAGCTTGGAAACAAGTTTGTAACTTCATGTCAGTGAACTGGCTCTTGCCCCTGAAGACACAGTTACACGTAACTCACTGGAAGAGCAAGTGTCTGGCCATTTTGTTTCAGTTTTCCATTTGTCCATGATCTGCAGCTGCTCAGAGCTGTAACACACTTGGTGGTGATCTAGTAAGCTTGCATTTATTTTTAAAATACTACATGGATGTTCAAATTTGCTAAATACCCTAGATGTAACTACTACTTAGAGATCCTGCCACATAAGCTATGAACTGTAAATTGTTTAACCTAAAAGATTACAGTGGGTAAGCCTTCTCTTTCTCTTCTAATTTAAGCATATTCTTTAACAGAACATACACAGCATAAGCATAGTACACAGCAAATAATTCTTGCTGTTGCCTTAACATTGTTTAAAGTTGTTTTTATTATGTTAACTTAAAAAGAAGTCTCACTTCTGATTACTCTTGTGTATTTAAGCCAGTGAAGAAAAAGAAGATAAAACGAGAGGTTAAGATTCTGGAGAACCTTCGTGGTGGAACAAATATCATTAAGCTGATTGACACTGTAAAGGACCCTGTGGTAGGTGCCTGGTGGCTGGGGAGTGTGCTAGTGGATTGGGGTGGAGTGTTGTTTAACACCCAGGGCCTTGTGTGGTACTGCATAATGGACTGATAAATGGACTTATGACACTGGTATTTATTGGTAAATGGGCTTAAAAATCATACAACTGTCATGGCCCAGTGATGAGCGAGCTACCACCACTAAATGCAGTCTATGTACAGAGAAAAACCTTGTCCTGATTTGTTACCTGTTATTGCCTGTTTCTTTGATTTAGCCCCTGAAGCATCTCACTGCCAGTTTGCATTACCTTACCTCACTCTAGTAAGCCTGGTACTGGGGATTTCTTTGTTGATTCTAGTGTAGAAAACTAAGCAGGTCCCAGACCACCAGTCCTTTGAGAAAGAAGCCTTGCTGTTTGTATATGAGAAATATATGCTTAATTTGGGACAGGATGGCTCAGTAGGTACAGGCAGCTGCCTCACAGGCCTGGTGACTAGTGTTGATCCCTAGAAATCACATTAGGGTAGATAGAACCTACTCCAGAGAGTTGGCCTCTGACTTCCATGTGTGTGCTGTGGCACATGTGCCAACATACACACATGCACATAACATATTCACAATAATAAAAAATTAAGAAACATATAAAATAACTTCCTTAATTTTGACCTATTCTCAGGGTGCTGTTTAACTTTTGTTTCCTTACCCTAGGGAAAAGTGACAGTATTTTTGATTGACTAAGCTTCCATCCTTGCAGAACCCACTTTGGTGCCACTTATATTGTGTTTCTGCTGTCTACCTGCTTTATGTGAAATTATTTCCCTGTTCTCCGTGACAGTTTTACATAAGCTTATTTAAGAAGCAGGGCTTTGCTTCTGTATGCTGAGGACATCCTCATCATTTAATTGCTAGACTGAGTGGCAGCTGTGGGCTAGGTGCTGTGCCGACTCTTTAGCTGTATCACAGCTTTCAATCCCCACAGTGATTCAGGGGGCCATTATACTGTAAAAAAACAAAAGTCTACAAAGGCTAAGTAATTTGCCCTGCTGCACAGTAATATAGGATGAGAAAAGATTTTCCTTTTGGGCCCTGATCAAGACTGAGAAGGGGTGATTATATACTAGTTTACAATTGATTTCACAAATAATATATCCCATTCTATTTAGTTCAGATTAATGATTAGCCCTGAACTACATAATGTTTGAGGTTAGAATGAGTATTATCCACTTAAGAATATATGTATACACACTGTATATATAGTCTTAGTGTTTGAGGTAAAAATGGGTATTCTCCATTTAAAGAACACAGAGAGAGAATGTGAATTGGGGGTATAGATGAGTTATGTGCCTGTAGCCTGAATGAGCCCTGGGTTTGTTCCCTAGAAATGCATAAATTAGGCAAGGTAATGTTTGCCTGTAATCCCAGCACACAGAAAATAGAATCAGGTTGATCAGAAGTTCAAGGTCATTCTCAACTACATAGGGAATTTAAGGTCAACCTGAGCTAGAGACACCTGGTGGTGCAACAAGACTTCAGAAGCTGTGCTAGGCACTAAACGTAAGGGCCTTGCACATGGTAGACAGATTGTATATGTGTCCCCCATTTTTGTCTCTCCCCCCACCACCACCGCTTCATCTCGCCTTCTCTGTTAGCTGAACTTACTGATACCTGACTTAATGTTTGTAATTTGTTAACATGTTTGTATAATACATGAGTTAAGCAAAAAAAATGAAGCAGGGCTTGAGAGCTGTCTCAGTGGTTAAGAGTACATGTTATTTTCCAGAGAACCCGAGTTTTAGTCCCATCACCCATGTCAAGTGACTAAGAACCACCTGTAACTCCAGTTCCAGAGGGATCAGACACTTGGTCTCTGAATGACTGCACTCACATGCACAGAGCAGACACATACATATTTGCCTAATGCGTCTGTTTTTGAGTAGTGTAGGTGGAAGTAGAAAGGGAACCTTAGCCCCTGAATTTGAGAGGGTCAGGCTTACTTAAATCTGTAGAAAGGTCAAATTCTTGAGGACGGTGCTAGACACATTTGTTCTTGGTGCTATTTGGACTCTATTGCCCAGGTAAAGACGAGTGTGTGCACGTGTGTACACAAGTTCTCGCACACATTCTCACTGTGGCACACTTCGTAAGAACCTATGATTTGTCCTTGAGGTAAAGTTCCAGCAGTAAAGATTTTTGAGATGAATTATTTTTATAACCCTTAAAACCCATGCTTTTCTCCCAATTCTGCTCATTAGCATGATTTTATTTCTCCTGAGTTAACCTGACATTTGAAGCTCTAGATTTTATAAGGAAGTTACTGAACTAAACATTTACTAACTGGAGCACATGTGTTTGGAGGCCACTCAGTTTGACTGCTCATCAAGCTTCTGGAATCTTCTTGTTTCCATCTCCTGGGGATTAGAGTACCCAGCTTTGACATGGATGCTGAGGATTTGGACTCAGGGCTTCTTTGCCTTCACAGCAAGTGCTCTTACCCACTGAGAAGTCTTTCCAACTATAGTGCTTTTAAAAGTTGGATTATTAAGAAAAAAGAAAGAAAGAAAAGAAAAAGTTGGATTGTAGACATTCACCTCTGAACCCAGCCCAGGTGATCTTTTAGGAGCCTACAAAGACTTAAAAGAGTATGAACTGTGTCAGATGCAACTTGTTTGCTAAACCAAGATGAAAGTGTGCAGCACCTGATACAGATGGCAACTTGGGATATTGCTGACTGTAAGTCTTAATAAAATCACTACTGGGTTTCTCAGGGCTGCTGCTGGGTCATTCTGGGAATATCTTGCTCTTTAAAACTTCACATAGACACAGATGTAAACAGTACATACTGAGCTTCCTGTGTATGACTGAGCAGTGTTAACCTTCATTTCATGCCCGCCTATAACCCTGTTCCTCCTACCTCCCACTTTCCCCAGTTACTTTGCAGCAACCCAGACATCATAAGTACTTCAAAATCAAACAACAATAACAACAAACAGGTTTTTGGGGCTGGAGAAATTGCTCAGCACTGACGAGGGTGCATGCTGCTCAGCTGGAGGGCCTGAGTTCAGGTTCCAGCACTCATTTCAGTTCAGATCCTCACGACCTCCTAATACTCCAGCTCCAGGGTGTCTAATACCCTCTCTGGTCTCTGATGGACACACACAAGCACAAAAATAAATAACAAATCTAAAAAACGAAATACGCAGGCAGTCCCTAATGAAAGAATCCTTTTTGTCTGTGAGGTTTGAGGGTGGGCCAATACAAATTGCATTTATTACTGTCTGAGTATCTAAAAAGAATCACTGTTCTCTCTTTCAGTCAAAGACACCAGCTTTGGTATTTGAATATATCAATAATACAGATTTTAAGGTGTGTATGCTTCTTTTTGGCATGGGGTTCACAGGGGGTTGGAGGGAGTAGGGTGGGTACTGCTTGAACTTGAAATCAAAGCAGTCAGGGATGATGTTGGTGAATTTGGATGGCAGCTTAGATCCCAAATATTGCAGATCTTGGTTGGGGTTCTTGAATTTGGAGGAGTTGCTCATTGCCTTTTGACTTGCTTTCTCAAGGAGTTAGCTGCACTATGGGATCCTCTCATCTGTAATAAGAGATGCAGTGCCTCATCTATTACACATCTGTTTTATACAGCACAGTTTTAGTGTACATTAACTCTCATTTTCATGAGATCTACCCTTGCTGATAGGGAAAGATAATGGATACATAGCTTCTGTGGAAGGAATCCTTAGATTGAAGCTGCTAAACGTGTGTTCATACACACTGTGTCCAAAACAGTTGATGCAAAGCCGTTTGACTTCAGCCGCTGTTGTCAACTGTTCTGGGGTATTTACATTTGGTGTGGTTTCTAGTGGCAGGTTTTCTTTGTGTAGCCCTGGCTGTCCTGGAACTCACTCTGTAAACCAGGCTGGCCTCAAACTCAGGCTGCCTCTGCCTCTCAAGTGCTGGGATTAAAGGCGTGCACCACCACTGCCTAGCTATATACTGAAGTTTTTAATGATAGGTTTGATTTAACTCAGGTTGACCTCAGACTTTAACCTTCTACCTCAGTCTGCTGAGTACTGAGATTACAACTGTCTTCCAGTGTTCCCAGCTGAAATATTCTTTTAAAAGAATGTTTTAAACACTGAGTTTTGAACCATCCTATCCCAGGTTTGCCTGGAATTCATTATAACCTTTCTGCCTTAATCTGCTGAGTGCTGGAATTACAGCCATGTGCAGCTTTAACTTGGTTCATGGATTTGTTTAATTGTAATAAAAAAAAATGAACCTACTAATGAGGTTTCTGGTGTTGAGATATGCAAAGAGAAAACCTTTTTTAGAACACAGTTTGATATAAAAAACAAAATAGTGATGTTGAGGGCTGGAGAGATGGCTCAGAGGTTAAGAGCATTGCCTGCTCTTCCAAAGGTCCTGAGTTCAATTCCCAGCAACCACATGGTGGCTCACAACCATCTGTAATGGGGTCTGGTGCCCTCTTCTGGCCTGCAGGAATACACACAGACAGAATACTGTATACATAATAAATAAATAAATATTTAAAAAAAAAATAGTGATGTTGATTTCCAGGGCTATGAGAGGACTTGAGGGTGGTTACAGCTCTCTGGCAAGGAGTCAGACACTTGTGAGTTTGTTGAGCTAGAAGCTAGAAATAAAACCATCTTATCAGTTGAAGTTGCAGGTTTCCAGCATCCCTGCTGCAGGCGAAATGTAATAACCTTATTTGAACATGTAATTTTCTTAGGTACTATCTCTAAAGGTATCTAATGAAAAGTAAGGGGAGAAGATTTACTTAAAATGATGCATTTACTTAAAATGAGTAGTAAGTTTTAAATAAACCTAATGCAGCCTTTCTTGTACGTAACAAATACTTTGTTATTATAACTCCCTTACAGGTAAAATTAGTGTGGCTTTAGCATTTTGTGTTTCTCAGAGGTGGTGTCTGCCAGGTATTGTATCAGTGTTCTTTGGGAGTTGACAGGAAACCTGTTTCTCTGGGATCTGAATCCTTAAAGAAGGTGTTCTGAAGACATGAGGCTCTAATGGATGCTTTTAAAGGAATTGTGGAGCTCGGTGGTTTTGAGACTTGATATTTGAGAACATCTTTTGTCCCCACTTATGTCTGCACTGGGGTCTAAGTCTACAGTGAGATTCATGCTTTCCGCAGTTCTGAAACGTCTGTTCCAGTGGGAGCACTAGAGCCCCTCCTGTCTGATCTTACAGACTTTTCTTTTCTTTTTCTGGAAGTGTTGAGGAATTTCTCTCCATTCTCAGTCTTCTGAATGTTCAGACATGTGCCTTCCTGTGGGCTCCTTTCATCCTTTGTTCTGCATCTTGTTGGGCTTTTTCCATCTTGAAAGCCTTCCATGGTGTCAGTGTTCTTTGATTTTCTCACCCCTCTCTTGTTCTCGCTGTCTAGAATATAATTCAAATGTTAGGCTTTGTATTTTAGAAGTCCGTTTCGGTCTCTGAATTTTTAAAAATAGTGTCCTGTTCTCTTATGCTTTATGTAATATCTGTTTTCTCATAGAGATGATTGCATTTTCTCCCATCTTTTTCTTCACAGTCTTGTTGTTTGGCTCTGTTAAGTTGCCTCTCCTGTTTTGGAGTGATGCTCTGAAGGGCATCGCTGTCTTGAGAACACACTTGGCAATTGGGGTCTCCAGTAGAGTGTTCTTGGTGCGTTACCTCACAGCTGCCCTGTTTCCAGCTTGCTGTTTTCTCTCTTTCAGAGATAGTGACTCTGTTCATTTCTGGGCCTTTCTGTTCTTCTTAGTTTGAAGCTCTGTGCTTATGGGCACCTCACTGTTGGCCAAATTGCCAGCTTTTTAGTCTGTTAAGTCCATGAACACATTTTCAGGCTTCAAACTGTTGTCCCTCTCCCTGCAGTTCTGAAATTCATTCCTCCCTGGCCTGTAACTGCTTTACCTTCATAGGACCTTCAGATGAAGCAGAGGGGTGAGAGTCCCTTTGACTACTGAGCCATGCTATTTGGTCATCCTAAAACACTAAATATCAGGTAGCGTGTGTGTTTTGGTAGGATGAATGATGGCGCATGATAATGAGTTTCTCTTTTAGATAGGATGACAGGTCACAAATAGGCAATCGGTGTTTATGTCCTTAAGGATTTTTATATTTTATTCTGTGCCTAAATGGGAAGATTTAGTTTTCCTTTTCATCTTTTCCTCTTTTAGTGTGAAGTGCGTTAATAGCTGACTTTAAAGTACTATCCAAAGAGTGCTTGTCCTCATTGAATGTCAGGGTGACGTGGCTTATGTTATGACTTGGTGATGGGTGTTCACCTAGCACTGATGTCCCTCGCATGCACAGGGCCTTAGGTTCCATCAACATTACTACACAACAAAAGCAGCAATGCAGTGGACACACTTGGTTGGTTTTGGGCCTTTTTTTTTTTTTGGATCAGTTGATAATCAGTTTTAATCTGTAAATTTCCTTTCATTATGCAGACATATTATTTTGATATCTAGGTTATATTACGTTTGTAAAATGAGTTTAGGCACTTGGGAGGCAGAGGTAGGCGAATCTCTGTGAGTTCCAGGCCAGCCTTATCTACAAGAGCTAGTTCCAGGCAGACTCCAAAGCTATAGGGAAACCTTCTCAAAAAAAAAAAAAAAAAAGAATTCAAGCAGCTTTTCTTCATTGTAGTCTCTGAGAGTGTATATACGGTGTGTAAATCTAGGCAGCTATCTTCCTGCCTAACTTCTTATTTGTTAATATTATGTGATAGGTTTTGAGTTAGAAATGCAGATTTTAAACAAGCAGGTTAAGGGGTTTCCTCCCAGACTTCCTGCACAGTGGCCACCTATCAGCCTTTTGATTGGCCACTCAGTGTTTTTGATGCCCTTGCTGTTGTTAAATCTGTATTTCCCTCTCATTGCTAGGTTCTTTTTTTTTCTTCTCTCTAAGTCATCTTAGAGTTAGTTGGACATTACCATACTTGGTTCTTGAATGTGCTGTTAATAGAATCTGAGGGTGTTCCTGTGTTCCTCACGGTATTCAAGAAGTTTAGTTAGTTACACTGTAATCCATCTACTATCATGGCCTTTTTTAAAACTTTCTCAGTTACTCTTGTCCCCATATCTTTAGAGCTATATGTTTGTGAGTATATGGTTCAAGATCAACTGGGCTTTTCAAAAATTCTTATATTGTTAACTCTTAATTTGATTGTATTTGTGTCTAGAAAACATGTTTTATCCAGGTTTTGCATCCCTAGTCTACAAGTCTTATCAGCCCACAAAGCAGAGAAGGGGAAGCACATCATGAAAGCTTTGTTTCATGACCAGAACTATTTAAAATATTGAATGAACTGGATGTGGTGGTACATGCCTTTAATGTCAGCACTTGGGAGGTAGAGACAAGTGGATCTTTGAGTTTGAGGCCATCCAGGGCTACATAATAAGACACTGTCTCCAAAAAGAAAAAAAAGGTTTGAACTTACCTTTGTTCTGTGTATATGAATATATGAAACACAAATGGATTTTGGATTTTGTTCAGATGTGGCTGGGGCATCTAATCCTATCCCTCAGAAGGCAGAAACCAAAAGGATTGAGAATTTGAGGTTCACCTGGGCTACATGATACCCTATTTCAAAAAATAAAATATCCCTAAAACAAACCATAAATGAATTTTATATTGGGTCTCGTCACAAAAATAATTATTTTTATGCAAATATTCTAAAAAGTAAAAAAATGCCCAACATTAGAAACAGAGTGGTGGTTGTACATGCCTCTAATCCCAGCACTCAGGGGGCAGAAGCAGGGAGATCTCTGAGTTCAAGGCATGCTTGATCTACAGAGCAAGTTCCAGGACAGACAGGGATACATAAAGAAATCCTGTCTTGAAAAACAAACTTTTGGTCACAAGCACCACAGATACCCAGCCTGTATAGTACTGACTATTTGGAGCCTGTTGATATTTGCTTTGTGATTCTAATGTGGGTCATGTTTTAAACCATGATGGTTTCTTATTCATTTTCCTGCTAGTGTTTGTTCATTTCATGATACAGGTTCTAGTTTGGTGTTCCCCTTTAAAAACCACCAGTTTTCTGTATGTCAGAGTTAAACAGTAAAAGAAACATAGTGTCCCTTAAAAATACAAACTTTCAAAGGAGGGGGTTGTCTCTGAGAGTTAGAGTAACTACTTAACAGCACACTCCTCACCTTGAAAGTGTCAAGTCAGAGTAGAGTGTGGTGGCACACACTTGTATGCAATCCCAGGGCTTGGGAGACTGAGATGGGAGAATTCTAAATTCAAGGCCAACCTGAACTACTAGTGAGTTCCGGGTCAGCTTGAGCTGCATAGGATGAACATGTCTTAGAACAAGTCTAAAGGAAAAGGTATCAGTTGAGATGCCAGTTATCTGTGCAGTAAGAATGTTATAAATTAAAATTTGTTCTAGTTCCATAAATTTCCAAACAACACTGTTTTGTTTTTTCTGTCTTGAAGGTTACATGTTAGCAGTATCTAAGTTGGTGGCTACAATATGAAATAACGCTTGTCTTTGGCTTTATATCCCCTCCTTTTTAATCTTCCTCCATTTGAACTCTGAGATTTCTTGGTGTATACTGAGCTGTGTCTGCTTGCTCTGCGTTCTCATACTTCTTGTACCTGTGCTCTTGTGTACTGGGTCAGAGTCCATAGAAAATGAAGTCCTCTTGAATTGTAACCATTAGGCAAGAACACAGTATGGCTGACTGTGACGGTGCCCCAGCGTCTTTGAAGTTATGCATTCATGCATGCAGTAGGAGTAAGTGAGGCCCACTGTGGTGATCCCTTGAATGTCTGTAGAAGACATCAAGCCTGGTTATCAATTTGCATTGTCTGCCATTCTCCTCTCCACGTGTTGCAGGGTTTATTAAAAGTCAAAGACATATTCACCCAGGCTCCTTAGATTACTCCTGTAGTAGAACTGATTTTTAGGGAATCATCAGTGTGTTTGAGGCTTTGCAGCTGACCTGAATAGGTAAGTGGTTTCTTCCTTACTACCTTTATAATCTTTGTGAGTGAGTGAGTGTAAATCAGACTTGTAGGAATCAGTTCTTTTTTGTACCATGTGGGTCCTAGGGATGTAACTCAGGTTGTTGGGTGTGGTAGCAAGTGCCTTTACTTGTGAGCCCATAACCTTCTGGGGAAACAACTTGGTTTGTTTTTGGTAAGTCTCTTAAGCAAATGTGAGCAAAGCTTTTTCCTGCCAACAGTCTGCAGCTGCTAGGTTAATACTATTCTCTACATACCTGGAGGGAAAGTGTGGTTCTTAGGAAGTTTCCCTTTGTAATTTCAGATGAACTCTGCTAGTTCTTGAAAGATAGGTCTGTTTTAGTCACTAACTGGTGAGCATTATAAGAGCGAGTGGAGGAGCTAGACATGCTGTCCTGCTGGGAGGGCTTGGCTTGAGGATTTGGTGGAGACAGTGGTGTAGGATACAGCTTTCAGTGCAGTCATGACACTTGGGAAGGTGGGGAGACTTCAGAGATCCTGAATCACCACAGTAGTGATTATGAGCTAGCAGGCTGCTTTCCTTATATATACGTGTTTACTACAGTGAGGATTTACCTTCAGAACTCAGCTCCCTGCCCGTACCTGGTGCTAATTCTAGTAACCCTGAGAGTCTCACTAGACTGTGAGCAAACACCCTAGAGCAGTGGTTCTCAACCTCTGTGGGGTCCCATGTCAGGTATTTACATTACCAATCATGATAACAGTAGCAAATTAAATTATGAAGTAGTAAAGAAATAATTTTATGATTGGGAGTCACCACAACATGAAAAAAAATGTATATAAAAGGATTTTAGCATTAGGGTGGTTGAGAATCACTGCCCTAGAGGGAAAGCATGACCTAGGGTTTAAAGAAGGATGAGGCCCGTTTCTGTGTAGAAAGCTGAGGTTGTGGTTTGGAGAGAATCTCTGAAAGGGGGCAATGGAGGAGCAGATACCTGTTGGTGTCTTCAGAGCAGGTGATTCCTGAAGTCTGCGATGGAGATTGGAGCAACAGTTAAAGGAAACCAGGTTGGCCCTTGGAAAGGACTTAATCATAAGCACAGGTGGTTACTTGGTCCAGATGTAGTTTAATCTTAAACCCACCAAGAACCATGAAAAAAGGTCAGACTGACTGATGGCCAGCCGTTCGGGGATTTGTAATGGAATAGGCCCAAGCACTGCTGTGTGGGTAATGTCTTTCATATTTAGTAAAATTGGTACTGGTTGGAGTAGTCATAAATACTTTGCTGACAGCCTAAGGACATCTGTTTTTATACCTTAGGCCCTTTCCATGATGATTTCTATAGATAGTACATGATCCAAGAGGAAAAAGCCTTTTAGAGATAAAGGTTCAAATGAGATTGCCCATATTGGTTTTTTAGAAATATAAAATATTATTACTCTGGGGGTTTGAGAATTTGATCTTTTCTCTTTTCTGGGCTATTTCTTGACTTCATGGTTCAGTTTAGCACAACCTCTGCAATTGATCTCTCACACCCAAGCTGGTATCTTAGACCTTTATATTCTGGTTGCCAGTTGTGACCAAGTACTAGCTAAGAAACCTGCCTTGAAGCACAGGGTTGGGAAGACAGAGACCTGGGGTTTGGTCCTTAGGAAGCTGAAACAAGTTGGTGAGTAAGTACGCTTGAGTACAGCTCAGCCCACAGGTGAGCCCCTACCAGCACAGCATCTTATGGACCCAAGCTGGCAGTTTATCTGGGGCTGAGAGAGCTACATATTCTTACTAAGCTGGAAAGGCAAGTTACTCTTCCCTAATGGGGGAGGAGAGATGTGGCCTCTTCTCTACAACTGTGCTTTTTATTAGTTTCTTTGTCATATTTGCAGATAACTTTCATTTTCCTGTTTATAAAATCACAGTGTAACCATTCTGTGCTCTTTGGAGGATCCCTGTGATATGTGATTCTTTTCTCTAATAGAGGAAAAGTTTAAAGTTGTTTCAATTATTTATAGGAAACACTGCCTACATTGACAGGGAAAGAGATTTGCTTGGGATTGATTGATTACCAAAGGCAATGCATAGTGTCTGACTGCACATGTGGTATTTTAATGATCCTGGTACTCTGCTCCAAGAATTTTCAAATTTATTTCAAACTCCATGAGGCAGATCTGTGGATTATCAGTAATGAAAGTTTCCCTGTGTGTGTTAGCTTGTCTTGTGGTCATCTTTGACACTGCTGCCTTTTTATTTTTAACGCCTTATTACGTTATTCCTTTTAAAAAATATATCAGTTACTGCCTGTGATATCTTATTTAGCCTGGAATTGTTTGGTGGGGATCAGAGGGCATAGATTTTTGAGATGTCTCATGGCATCTTTCAGATGTCTATACCACTATCCCTCTGTTTCTTTTACATGAAACATTTCATTCCCCTAACACTAGTCGGCAGCAGCTAGGGAAGGTCTCCCCATGTGTGCAATGCGCTGGGTGGGCTCAGCTTGATATGGACAGCTAGACAACTTTGACTTCACAACAGTGTGGCTGTAGTTATTAGAATTCTAGAACGTTGAATAGCAAAGATCAAATTGGCTATAGTGTTTCCTTCTCCCAGAACTCCTTCCTTTTCCCCTTCTCTGCTGAAAGTGGAATGTTGAGCTCCTTCATCTATGCCGTTCCAGGTCAAGCAGTGAAGTTGTGGGTGTCCATTGTAATTTGTGGAGGAAGGCCAGCATTTAGAATAACAAATACAATCAGACTAAATTAACTTTCTGTTTTCTGAAATCTGTTTCAGCAACTCTACCAGATCCTGACTGACTTTGATATCCGGTTTTATATGTATGAACTACTTAAAGTAAGTAGCATTTGTAGACAGTACTTTTTTTTAAAAAATCAGGCTTATTCCTTTAAGTTTTTGAAAAGATAAAATTCAAGCAGAATATTTTCTGCTGCCCAGAGAATCTAGTGAGGCCTAAACTTCTGATGATAATTCTGTTGAGACCTCTCAGATTTTCTTTTCTTTTCTTTTTTTTAATTTAACTTTATATGCATTGGTGTGAAGGTGTCAGATCCCCTGAAATGGAGTTACAGACAGTTGTGAACTGTCACACGAGAGCTGGGATTTGTACCCAGGCCCGCTAAAAGAACAGCCAGTGCTCTTAACTAGTTAATTAATCCTAGTCTTCTATGTAGAAAGTCACTCAGACATAAAGATTTTAAAGATGGCTTTTTATTGCTCATAATCTCAGAGTTAGCCTGGTAAGTCTTTTTTAGATTGAAGTCTGCCTGACTGAGACAAAGTGGTCTGGGTTGGCCCCATTCATGTGTCTGATGCAGGCTGGAGCTGCTGGAATAGTTGATCCCGTCTTTGAAATAGCAGTAAGAATGGAGACCTCAGCCTGGCCGGCCCTTGCTGATTGGCCAGCACCTGTTAGCCAAAGTCAACCCTGTGGCCAGCCCTTGATTTCAAAGGGTGTCAAATGGTTATTATTTCTTGGTGGGAAAATCATAAAGAGGGATGGGTACAGAATTGGCAGCCTGTTTGTTTGTTTGTTTGTTTTTTACCAAACTGTCTTTTACCATCCTTTCTTATACGAGAAGATCTACCCCTCACCTAAGTGCTAGTGCTCAGTTTAGGGAGAAGTGATGGGTGGACCTTCTAAATGACTTAAAAATGCCAAGTACTATCAAAAAGAAAAATAGAAGCATTATCAATTGGCAAAAGAATATTTTCATTTGTCGAGGTGAACACTTGAGTAAAGCATTCTGGAAATGCTGCATAGACCTTTTAAGGTAATGAATCACTAATAACTTAATAAGAACTATGAACTCACAGAAGTGCTTTATAAATACAGAATTGGCCAGGCATGGTGGCGTATGACTAACTCCTGGCACTGGGGAGTTAGAGGCAGTGGGTCTCTTAAGTTCAATACAAGCCTAGTCTTCATAGTACATTCCAGGCCAGCCAGAGCTACAAAGTGAGAACTCTCTCCAAAATAATAATACTAATATAAATTATAGAGTATTACAAAAACTTGGGTGGGGGAGTTAGTGGTTGTAGATCTCAATTAAGAAAACTCCTAAGTTAGGGGTTATGTGGGAACTGTGAAACATAGCTTGAACCAGGTTAGAGCAAGGCTGGATTTAGGGAGTGGAAGTTTGAAGACCTGACTCCATGAAATGAATGCTTTTCCATAGAATTGTGCTTGAATGATCTGCCTGTTCCTGGAGCCACAGGTGGTGGGCTTGGGATTCACTCCATGTCTATTGAGCTTCCTTTTTGTTGGGAAGGGTAGACTAGAGCTTGACCTGGTCCACCTTTTCTGTGTCTCCTCCAGACGAGAAGCCTAGTAGGAAGAGGTTTGCAGTCCTCCCAGAAAACCCCACACATGCACCCTTGAGAGCCACTGCCCATTTCTCACAAGTGTTCATTTAAGTCAGTATTTAGCTAGCGAGCACCAACTGGACAAAGAAACTAGCTCAGCTGTCCTCAGTGCTGGGGCCCTGCTACTGTCTAGTGGTAGCAGTATTCTATCTGTTCCTGCTGATGAATGATCAGAAGGAATTTAAAGGTGTTTAGGATCCCCACAGGGTGTTTGGCCAGTGAGTACTGCCAAGAACTAATCACTGCTGCTTTTTCCTCAGCCTTTGCTTTCGTGTGTCTTTCCTATCCCAGGTATTGTCTGGATTCTATCTTTGACAAAGGCTGGATAAAATGGCAGAAACTGAGCTGGAGGCTGTATGTGACTGCTCGGTGACCGACCCCACCTCCAGGTTTCCTGTGATCTGGTTCAGATCCAGGGGCATGTGCCCACATGGAACCTGGTTTTATAAGAAAACTGCCAAGATGGGACTTGTGAGAACTATGAAATGCTGATTAAGCAAAATGTCAGTTTAAAGAAGGCACAACAGCACATTAGAATCTTTCTACAGCTGTTGTAAAGTAAATCTTGAGTCTCTGTGTTAGTAGACTTGGTATGTGTAAACCTTCAGCCAAGTGTCCTTAGATCTGTGGTAGCTGCTTAAGCAAAACCTAAGTTCTCTGCTCATGTGATACTGATCACTTGCCAAGTGCTTAGTGGTCTTGCGTAGCTGGTGGCTACTCTGCCACACCAAAAACAATGGACAAGGCTGGCAGAAAAATTCTGGACATCCAGAAAGTGCTCTTAGGCTCCTTCTGTCTAGTATTCCCTTCTTTGGAGATTATATCTCACTTCTGTCTCCATGTTTTATATTGTCCACTCTCCAAATTCAAATTAAAAGTGTCAAAGTTGTCTGTTACTGTTGCTATAGAACAGGGAACATGTTTTTTGGCATGCTGCTTGCTTGTCCTCTGTTTAAAAATCCTCCAACATGAAGATGCCTGGTGTGGTGTCCTCCTTAGTTTACCACTGCAGGAGGTACTTGGTATCTAGAATTACTTTTGGTTGTCACAGCCTGAGGTGACACAGCTGACACCTAGACCGTAAGTAGATGCCATGTATTGTGTTAAATAGTCTTTAATACAGGATAGCCCCCACATGAAGAATTTTCTGGCTTCCTGAAACTTTCCTGTGCTTCTTAAGCCAAAAGGTCTAACTTTGGTGTTCACAAGATGACCCATGGTGTGTGTGTGGAAAAGAAGACTTAAGAGCTGTGAGTGGGTAGGTGGGAGATATATTAGGGGTTAAAAAAAATTTTTTAAAAAAAAAAAAGGCTGGATGTGGTCATTCCAACACTCAGGAGTTTGAGGCAGGAGAATATCGACTCTGAGGCCAGTCTGGGTGCGGAGAGTAGAGGGCTGCCTGACTGAAATGTGTAACAATAAAAAGGAAAAAGGCTTGTTACTCCAAACTTAAAATTTTAAATCAATGTTTCTTTAAAGGCTGTATAAATATATTTTGATATATATATTATTTAAAGTCTATATTTAAATATATATAGAAATATGTATGTGTGTATATAGAATGATCAGTGAACACATGACAGATAATATGTTTCATCACTAATAAGAAAATACAAATCAGAAATACATTGAGCTACCTGAATAGCTGTAATTTAAAAAGGAACAGGCGGTGGTGTCACATGCCTTTAATCCCAGCACTTGGGAGGGAAAGAGGCTGGCGAAACAACAAAAAAAAGTGACAAGTGTTGGTGAGAATGTGGAAGGACTGGAACCATCTTGTGATAGACTTGAGAAAACAGGCAGTTTCTTAAAAATTGTAAAGTTACCATGCAACAAGGTGCTTCTGCCCCTAAAGTATTTACCCGAGATAAATGGATACATACCCTTCAGAAAAACTTAAATATGATTGTTCACTGCAGCGTTTGCTCTCAACAGCCAAAAGTAGAAACAATCCTAGTAAGTTCATAAATGATTCAGTGTCAAAAATAAATAAGCTCGGTGAGAAAATTAGACAAAGTACTATACTATTAGTAGTGATATCCAGCAGTAAGAAATCTCTAGATAGCAGATCCACCGGGGGCCGGGAGCAGCTTGGCAGGGGCAGTAACTAAAAACGAACTCCAGGGAACTGTGCGGGTGCTGAGAAGTTCTACAACAACATGGTGGCATTGGTCACACAGCTCTCAGTTTACTGAGGATCATTGGCTTTCAACACTTAAAAGCCTTTTATACTGATTATATTACAGGAAGTGATTTTCTCTCTTAGAATAGTAATAATAATTCTTAAATGCTGGCTCAGGTTTTATGTTTAAGAAAAATGTAAATGTAAACTCAGATAGTTCACATAACTTTTAAGTCTGCCTGGTTAAAAGATATGTTCAGGCCAGGCGGTGGTGGCGCATGCCTTTAGTCCCAGCACTCGGAAGGCAGAGGCAGGTAGATCTCTGTGAGTTCGAGACCAGCCTGGTCTACAAGAGCTAGTTCCAGGACAGGCACCAAAGCTACAGAGAAATCTCTGTACAGGAGAAAAAAATAAATATTTTCAGATTTTTCATGCCCACATAGATTCTGAGGTCCCACACTCTGGCCTCACATTCTCTCTTTTTAAAGCAACCTTCATCATGATCATCAACTGCCCCCTTTCTACTGGCTACCAGCTGTAGTGTCTTTGGAGAACATCTTATTTTCTCTCTCCTTAAAGGCAATAAGCTGCCCTTTTTGAGACAATTCAAGGTAAAGTGTCACAAATAATAAAAATGTGTTTGCCTTGGGGGTGTTAGAGGGTTTGCTTACTTTTCTCTGCTTTCTTACCTACCTAGGCTCTGGATTACTGCCACAGCAAGGGAATCATGCACAGGGATGTGAAACCTCACAATGTCATGATAGATCACCAACAAAAAAAGGTACCAGTCCAGCCAGGTAGCACCATATCTTTGCTGAATGAAGGCTTGGGGAAACCTCAGCATTGTCCAGTAGCACTGTTGTCTGTAGAGTGTTGATTTCTTCAGTAGACTGGGTTGCTATGACTTCTAGTCTCCACAAAGTGCATGTGACCTTGGCTATGGTCACTGGTTTTATTTTGGGTTTTGTGTTCAGAGGACCTCAGGAAGAAACTATAGTTGTAGTTTCTGCTTTGCTTTTTAGTGGCCATTAGACCAATCCTAATATCCCTAAAAAGTACACTTGGGTCTCTCCAACTCTGGTTGTTTTAGCCAGTGTTAGCTTAGTGACCAAATAGAACAGTTCCAGAGTGGGACATGCACATGAGTCCTTCAGTAGTACCTGAGGCTTTAGAGCTGTGAATGATGGGAAATGTGTTCCACATGAAAGGAGTATGGAGACAGAAAAAAGGCTGAGTGCTTTTGATTTGTAGAGCAAAAAAAAACAGGATAACTTTAAAAGGAGAAAAACTCAGTACTTACAATATTCTAAGTACTCTGCTTCAGAAATGACCTCATCTCCAGTTTCTGAAGTAGACTTTTCATGGGTGCACTACATGTGGCCGAATACCTGTAGCAGAGATGTGCTGTGGCCTCGTCAGCTATGGGTGAGCATCTCGAAGTGCACCTCTCGCATTGTTTGGTCTTTCTTATAGCTCCGACTGATTGACTGGGGTCTGGCGGAATTCTATCATCCTGCTCAGGAGTACAATGTTCGCGTGGCCTCGAGGTACTTCAAGGGACCAGAGCTCCTTGTGGACTATCAGGTGAATGTGTCAGTGAAACTGCTCTGAACTATTTTTATATTCTCTTAAGGATTTTCCTGATTGCTGTGTAGTCAATTTATTCTTATTATTCTACTCTAAAGGTTTTTCTCAGCTACATTAACAAAGAATTCATTATTTTCTTGTGTATGTATGAGCATACTTGTGCTATAGCCCTCGTGGGAAGGTCAGAAGACAACTCACAGGAGTTTGTGGATCTCCACCATATTGGTTCTTAGAACCAAACTTAGGTTAGAGGCTTGACAGCCTTTACTAGCTAAGTCTCTTGCTGGCTTTTTCTTCTTCTTAAGGGAAAGGAGTGACTTTTAGTTCTAAAGTAAGTGCAGAAAGGCTGAGGATGGAGTTTAGTAGTAGCTACTTGCCTAGTATGGATAAGGCCGTAGTGCCTCAAAATCAAGGGCTAATCTTTAGAGGTCAGATGAGTATGAGAAACTCGAGTCAATACATTGTTGACCTAATGACCATTTCTCCTGCCTGCAGATGTATGATTACAGCTTGGACATGTGGAGCTTGGGCTGTATGTTAGCAAGCATGATATTCCGAAAGGAGCCATTCTTCCATGGGCAGGACAACTACGACCAGGTAAGCAGGTTCAGCCCTTGCTGGTTTTTTAGCCTCTGGGGTGGTAATGAGGTGTAGAGTGTTGCTCTGTAAGCTAACGAATTGTCCAGAATTGTGTGTGGGCATGAGGGCCCCAACCATGCAGAGACAGCCAATGCTGTCTGTGGTGAAAGTTCAATATGACTCTTAAGAAGTAACACACCTCTTTGTCTGACAAAATCAGATTCTAGTCATTTGATCAGTGTCCCCAAAGATATTAGCCTCTAAATTATGTTAACCCTTTAAAAGCAGTTTAGAAACTTGCATTCATGTGAACTTTGTGTCCTTAAGTCTCTTTGTTTACTCTAGGCTGGGGTCTCTCTCTGTTAGGTCTGTAGAGATTTGGGTGGTATGGAATTTCCTGATTCCCAGACCCAGCACAGTGTCCTGGCAAGCTCATGGGAAGCTTTGTGCTTGGTGGTTTGGTTCAGTGTGTTCTGTGTTTCAGCTTGTTCGAATTGCCAAGGTTCTGGGGACAGATGAATTGTATGGGTATCTGAAGAAGTACCACATAGACCTAGATCCACACTTCAATGATATCTTGGGACAGTAAGTAAAAAAGGGGAGAGAGGGGGTAAGGGAGGGAGCAAGCATTTTGCTCTATTTCTAAAGTGGAAATATTACGCGAAATCCAATTTCTCATTTATCCAATTTATTTATTGAGGTTGAGTCTCACTTCTGTGTAGACCAGAGCTAGTTTTGAACTCACAGATATCTACCAACCTTGGCCTCTCAAGTGTTAGGACTCCTGTTTATCAATAGAAAATAAGTCATATGTGGACATACATGTTTCTGATCTCAGCACTTAGAAAACTGTGGTAGGAAGATCATTGAGTTTGAAGCTGGCCTGGAATCATGAGATCCTGTGGAAGCAAATGGATAACAAAATCATAATGTTAAAGCATGGCTTTTAAAAAAAATTCTTTTTATTTTGTATGTAGGCATGTTTTACTTGTTTGCATGTATATGCACCGTGTGTGTCTGCTTGGTGTCTGTAGAACCAGAAAAGGGGTCCTTCTGGAACTGGAGTTACCGATAGTTAAGAGCCACCATTTGGACCTAGTTCACTGGAAGAGCAGCCAGTTGTAGACAAGTTTCTGTCCTGCCCAGTCCCACAGCTATCCAGTCCCAAAGAAACACACAGAGGCTTATACTAATTATAAACTGTCCTGTTAGCTCAGGCTTATTATTAACTAGCTCTTATAACTTAAATTGACCCATAATTCTTGTCTATGTTTAGCCACGTGGCTTGGTACCTTTTTTCAGTGAGGCCTTCTCTTGCTTCCTCTGTGTCTGGCTGGTAACTGTTTCTGCCTTTCCTCTTCCCAGAATTCTAGTCTGGTTGCCCCATTTATACTTCCTGCCTGGCTACTGGCCAATCAGCATTTCATTAAACCAATACAGAGTGACAAATCTTTACCATGTACAGAAGCATTCTCCCACAACAGACAGTGCTCTCAACCACTGAGCCATTTCCCTAGAGCTACACATGCTTATTTTGATGGCAAATATTAAAAGCTATGCTTTTTCAAATAAATGAATAGCTTATTTCTAAAGTAAGTTTTGTAATAACTATTAAGACATGCTTATATTTCAGGTACCGTGCAGGTTTTCATGGTTAAGGTATATTTTTATGGGTTATTTTGTTATTTTGACAAGGTCTTGCTGTGTGTAGCCCTGGCTGGCCAGCTCAGCTTCAGTACAGTGTGTTAAAAGTAAATATTTGGTCTTCAGACATTAGTTTATGAAACCACTTATTTCTAAAGCCAACCTTCTAAATATATCTACTGACCGTTGCCTCACTTTGTCACCACCAGGCCTTTCTCACAGTTGATGAAAAAAAGGCAGAAGAATAATGCTTACTCAGATGCAGATGTTTTAAATAGACTGAGCAGTTTCATGTCAGCATGCTGTGGTTTTAGCGGGGGCACCAGGCTGTACGTAAACCAGCCTGTTCTGAAGTAGGTACTGAGAAGAATGAGCTTCAGCTGCTTCAGAGTGCAGCATTCTAAGGGTTGGTTTGTGTTAGATCTATTAGAGAAGGTTTTTCTTGTATTTAGTTTCAGAATACTAATGATGCACTTTTTGTAGGCATTCACGGAAGCGTTGGGAAAACTTTATCCATAGTGAGAACAGACACCTTGTCAGCCCCGAGGCCCTAGATCTTCTCGACAAGCTCCTGCGGTACGACCATCAACAGAGACTGACTGCCAAAGAGGCCATGGAGCACCCATACTTCTGTAAGTATCTCCCTTTTCCTTTGGTGTCAGTCAGAAAACTAGGTATGGATTAGATCAACCTAGGAATTTGGCTTCAAATCATTATTCTAGATCACTGAGACCAATTTACAGGTGATTTTATTAGTTCCTGAAGGTGTTTGATTAATTCACTGTCAGTAATACCTCTGAGGCAATGCTGTCTACCCATTCCCATCATTCTGAACTCGTATACTGAAGGTATCTAAGATTCTTGTTCACTTTTCAAGACAGGGTTTCTCTGTAACTTTGGGACCTGTCCTGGAACTCACTTTGTAGACCATGCTGGCTTCGAACTGACAAAGATCCTCCTGTTTTTACCTTCTGAGTGCTGGGATGAGCACTGCATGGCAAGATTTTTTTTTTTTCCCCAAGTGTGAAAATATAATCAAGATTATTTTTTCCCTCTAAAGAAATTAGTTAGAAGTAGGAAGATCAGCTGGGTAGTGGTGATGCACACATTTAATCCCAGCACTTAGGCAGAGGCAGGTGAATCTCTGAGTTCGAGATCAGCTTGGTTTATAGAGCAAGTTCCAGGACATCCAAGGCTACACAGTGAAACCCTGTCTCAAAACAAAACAGACAAAGAGGTAGTGAGATGGCTCTAATGGTTTCTAGAGGAAGCAGTATGTGAATAAGAGCAACTTGAGGTGAGCAGGCAGCTGTGGCCGCCAGGCTCCGACATTTCCCACAGCATGGCTGTGTGCCTCTTGCACTTCCTTGTGGTTTGAGTACATCTTTCCATTGAAAGTCTCACGTGCTCTTCACCCGTGTGGAGGCAGAGGTGGCAGTCTAGTCATGCACACACCTCAACCAAGCACTCAGAGGCAGGTACACACATAGTCAGGCATGGCAATACAATCTCTAAGGATTGAGAAGGCAGAGGCAGGTGGATCCCTGAGTTCGAGTCCAGTCTGGACTACAGAGTGAGTTCCATGAGAGCTTGGGCTACCCTGTCTGAAAAAACAAGCAAGCAAACACAATAAAATAAAGAAGCAGTACTGGTATAAACTCATGAGGCAAGTGCATACGGATTGCAAATTTGAGGCAATCTAGGCTATATAGTTAGACCCTGTCTCAGAAATAATAACAGAAACAACCTGATATTTCAGATAATTGTTTGATTGCTTTTCTAAATAAACTGCATATACACTCTGCTTAAAATTGATAGAGTGCCACTGGCTCTTTTACTCGCCCTTTTTATAACGTGCTCATTGTACATGCTTTAAAGAATTTAAAGGCTAGGTATTATGTTGATACGCAAAGAAGAAATCACAAGAACTTGGTGGTTAAGTTAGGGTTGCTGTGCCTTTCAGCAGCCAGGTCTGTATTCCAAGGAAGTAGAATTACCTCCAAATAATTCCCCACTGGGCGTGACCACTACCCTGACTGAGCTGCAGCCTAAGGCTAAGTTCAGTGTTAGTTTGAGCAACAAATAAAATTTTCAGAAGTAGTTGAGGCTATGACTTAGAAGATTGATTGCCTAGCATGTATGAGACTGAGTGATATTCCTTGCCCTGAGGACAAAAAGAAAAGGAGTCCATTCCTGATCCTGGTGCCTGCTTCGTGAGGGACCCGAGTTCCTCATAAATGTCCGTCTTGGTGCATATAGAAGAGGAAAGGCGGGTGCTGACATGTGGACCTGTGCTTCTCTCTTGCAGACCCTGTGGTGAAGGAGCAGTCCCAGCCTTGCCCAGAGAACGCCGTGCTTTCCAGTGGCCTCACCGCAGCACGATGAAGCCTGGAGAATCGACGGTAATGCGGCACTGATGCTTGCCAATAAAACCAACAACCAAACAAAAACTTGAAGGAAACTACAGTGTGATAAAAAGAAATTCTAATCATTCCTTCTAAAGGCAAAGAAGAGTAAAGACCTAAAGCCTGTCAAAAGCAAGAAACTCCCCAGACTAGTCTGCAGGGAGCTGTGTTGTGCAGTGTGGCAGCACATAGTGCAGGGTCTGAGGGACTCTCCCTTTGGAATGCATGGGAGATGAGACGCTCGGAGTTGTTGTGCACGTACCTGCGTTTAACAGGATACCACTGTTGAGTTAACCCGTTCGGTCAACAAGCTCTGAATATCTGACTTCCTATCTATTCCATTGTGGTCTGGTTTTCTTTTGTGAGAATTCAGGCTCAAGTTTTAGCAAAAGTCAGCAGTCTGTTCTGACACACCAGCCTCATTTACAAAAGAAAAAAAAAAGAAAAAAAGATTAAAACAGTGACAGTATTTTTTTTAAGCTCTTTTACAAATTCATGTGTTATGTATTTTTTTATGACATGAGCTCTCCAGGAAATGTACCTCATTCCTGCAGTTTTCTTCTAAGTATATCCATTTGGAGGCAAACTGCGGTCACTCTCACCACGTCCTCTATAGTGTCAGAAGATGGCACTATAAATCTTGAGATGCCATGAACAGGCCCCAGGTGCATTAGAAGTTCCATGCAGTGTGCATAACTTGGGGCTCACCTTTATTGATTTGCCTAACTGTTGAATCTTGTTTCTTTTTTGGGTTTTTCCCCCCTGCCTTGTAAGGAAAATCTCACCATTTCTCAGCACAGCTTTGTGTGGGCACCTCCTTTAATGTTCCACTCTAAAACGAAGACTACTTTTGTTCACAACCGTAGCTGCCACTGCAAAGTTAGTCTTCAGGCAGGGCGAAGCGGGAGGGAAATTTTCTATTAGGATTCATTCAGGAAAGATGTCACATGTACAAAAGGCATACCTGCCACCTTCCCTCTTTTTAATCCTGTGAAAAACAGGTCTGGCTGCAATCGGGGTGATGGCATTTACAGCTCTGATAGGTCATACATGAATGTGGTGGCAAAGAAGTCTGGCATGCAGGCGCTTGCTTGTGGGCAAGGTTGTCCTGTGACTCCTGCAACTGGCTGGAGCGGGGTGACCAGGGCTTGGTGGGGGAGGAAGTGGGGCTCCTGGAGCGAGTGTCAAAGCTTTATAGATCCACTGTGCTAACTTTGTGTTAGCAGAAAGAGATAGATTTTGTTTGTTTTTTGTTTTGTTTTATTTTTGTTTTTTGTAGGGCCGATTTCATTTGGGGAACTGGTCACTGACATGGTTTGTCACCTAGTCCCCTCTCCTGACTGCAGAGCCATGCCTCAGCTCTGGAGACCTAACATGTTTGGGGTATCTACCACATCACACTTAGGGTTTCTTCATTAACTATTTAATAATACCATACATTTTTATAAGGTTAGATTGTTTGTTTGAAACATCTGTTTACATTCCAAATTCCAATAAACTTGTATTGGTATTGGTAGCAGGTCCATCTCTAAATGCAGATTCTATTTTGTCGTTTGGTCTGTGGGAACTTAAAAGGCAAATTAACTCTTCTTGGTAGTATGGAGTTGAGTTTATAGGTTAAAAAGTAAGATTCTGGGCCAGTGACATGGCAGATAAAGGTATTTGCTGCAAAGACTGCCCAGAGTTCAGTCCCCAAAATCTACACGGTGAAGGGGAGAGCCTACTCCCACAAGCTGTCCTCTTCCCACACTTGCGCTGTGGCATGTAAACACACACAATAAATAAAGTTTTAAAATCTTCTTTAAGATCCTTTATGAAGCCAAAGCATTGCCGTGCAGTTAAGGCTTTCATGCAGATCTGCCTCCTTGCATCAGCTTCTGTGTACCGATGTACTATACATTTGTTCTTCCTGACTTGGAAACGTGACATGGACGCCACTGAGCCTGGGTTAACATGTCAAGTAGTAAACCTCAAGTGTTGGGGATACTATGGGCTTTCTCGTGTGCCCTTTGGTTGTCTAGGGAATATGTTACCGTATGTTTTTCCTGTTTTCTAACCTCATTGCCTTTATTACCTATGCTTCTCTCTTAAGTTGTTCAAGAGCCTGTTGGGGGAGTCTCAATTGAGCAGTAACCCAATCTCTTTGACCTGGGTCCTCCAGAGGCAGTGAAAACTTCTGTGAGAAGAGTTGGCCATGTTCCCCTGACCCTCTTTGGCATGCTCTAGGAGAGAGGTCCTTGAGTGACAGCTCAGCGGGGCGTGTCCTTTGTATGCAGCAGTGCCTGTACTTTACCTCTCTTCCCCCCTACTGTGGAACATCCTTGGGCTTAACGCTTGCTCCCTCTGGATCTGCACTCTGCCTAGGCTGATCTTTCTCAAGTTGCAGTGAATCTAGCAGCCCTCTCATCTGTCTCCAAACCTATCTTGATCCAGGTGTACCTGGGTCCAGCCCTCAGAGTTTGGAGAGTTTTAAAGCGTGTGTGTGCACGCGTGTGTACGAGAGAGAGAGAGAGAGAGAGAGAGAGAGAGAGAGAGAGAGAGAGAGAGAGAGAGGTTGATTGATTCAGACTAAACTGGTAAATTTACCCACTCAGTATCCTTCACATGAATACATACATCTTAAACTCATCTCAGTAATTTTCTTTTGTTAGTTTCATTACCTTATAACAAGTTAAAAGTGCCTATGACAAGGACTTAATTATTTCCTAATGAAAAGCAAAAACACAACAAACCGTGGGGAACAGGGTAGTGTTGCACTATCATCTCAGGTACTGCCTGTGTTCAAGACGGCACATGGTGCGCTGAGAAGAGGCTCCGGCCCCAGGGCTGCCTCCAGCTCACTGTCTCCTTGGTATCCACAAGGAGCATGACCTCAAGGTTGCCTGGGCTAAGAAAGCCATGCTGAGAATGCTACTAAGAAGTGTGTTGGTAGCAGTTCGATCTTTTCGACCGCCACTCAGTTGAACCTGACTCCTGTCCCTGTTGTGGGTGGCTGGGTAGAAGCCATTGCCTGTGTAAAGAGAGCATGTGTTACTGAGGCCTGGTATGGAGCAGAGTGCCCTGTCAGGCCTCCTTGTGAACCTTCCCTTAACTTGTCCATGCCCACCTGGCTTAGGGCACATGGATCCTCTCGTGAAAAGGAAAACAATCTCAGGCTGACTGCTGAGAGAAAGGAGTTGGGGATCCTGGAGGCTTAGGGACATGGCTGGGTGGTGGGGTGCAGGTGAAAGAAAAGTATCCGGTAAGAAAAATATAAAGGTAGGCTTTGAACAGCTCATACTTCCTGAGAATGAAACTAGGGGTCACTAAGCTCCTGTCACAAATGTGCCTGGAGAGGACACTGCCCCTGGCTTGGGTCCAATGGCCCTTGAGAGGTAGTTGCCAAGGGCCTTGGTCTGTACCTACTCAGGGAAACAACCTAGGATCTCCAGGATCATGGCTGCTATGTCAGCACAGCTTCGGGACAGGAACAATGGGAAGAATATATGTGTATTGGGGTCAGTGTAGGAGCCAGTTAACTGTTTCCTTTAATGTCAGTTCAGATTCCCAGACACTCAGAGGGAAGGGCAGTCTCCCTCTTGTGCATGAGTGAGTGGATAAGAGCTGTGGGGAGAGGTGCTTATAGAATGCCATCCCTTCTGAAAGCAAAAGCAAGCAGATCTTGTGAGTTTGCCGGGGAGTTTAAAAAATTAAAACAGGTGTGTCATGCCTTTGAAACACAAATTCAAGTGTATGGATGATGGGAAGGGAGGTGGCTAGGAGCGCTTGCTTTTGCGCTAGGGGGTGGCGAACTTTGTCGTAGACGCTGGCAAGATTGAATTATGCAACTGATGCATACTTTTGTGTCAATACTCAACAATGTGCTACAAATGTGACACTTAACCCTGAACTGCATGTATTGGGGGATTTTAAAAAGAAAAACAAAAAAAACAAACTTTGAATCAATAAATTTAAGTTTTTCACTTGCTGGCTCTTCTTGCTGTAAATGGTGACTAAGAGTTTGGGGCAGAAATGTTGCTATCCAGAGGCAAGCTTGGATGATCTTGAAGAACCAAGGAGCCTTCTGTTTGCAGGAAGACAGCGCTGCCTGTGTTGTTGGTGACCCTTCCCCGTGAACACTGCAGCCCCAGTTCCACGGTGTAGCCCGAGATGACTGACATGGGCTGCCATGTGGACAGTGCCTGATCTTCCCAGCTAGGAGACAAACAGTTGCTGGGACCTTAACTTGTCTTCCCTGTCTCGGGGGAGGGGGGAGCACCAGCTTACACTTGGAGCTTCGAAGACATACGTGGTGGCTGAGGCCATGAGTTTGCTGTGAACACTTTAGGAGTGGGACTGGAGTGTGTGGTAGATTTGTTCTCTAGTTTCTCGGTGGCATCGCTCAAGGCCCCTGCTTCTCAGGACTGACTGGTTTTGTTACAGGACTTTAACCTTGGGACCCAGACTTGGGTATTTGTAACAATCTCGCCCTACCACTCCTTGCAGCATACACGTGGTTGTGGGCCTGTACCATCATTTGGCTGGTGGTAGGGGTCTTGCATGGTCGTGCTTTTATCCCTGACTGATCACTCTGGATTGGAGCCTTGGACAAAAGCTGAAGAGCTTGGGGTGGGGTGTAATTTCTTAACATGCACAGCAGCTTTTCTCACCTATTGAGCAGGAGAAAGAAACCCCCAAGGGAAGTTTCTGAGAGCTTACTGGATGCTTCATTGTGGTCTCTAGAATCTAGTCACCAGCTTTACCATGATGGGTATGAAAGGCCATCCCAGACAGCTAGCTGCCTGCAGCGGCAGTTGAGAATCATTTGAGCCCGCCCGCTGCCCTTAAGTGAGTGGATTCAGCCCTTTCCTGGAATAAATACCAAGTCCTCAGCTTCCTAGACTTGGTACCCTCAAGTGTGTCATGTCTGAGACCCTGGAGCTGGACCTCCTGTCTGGCTTGTGGGATGGTCACTAGGCATTTGCATCAGCACCTGAACTTGAAAGATAGGGAAGGAGAAATGACCATGACATAATGTGGCCAGAGTTCTTCTCCAGAAGGCAGATCAATGACTGCCTCTAGAATGTCAAAGAGCAGGAAAAGCCAGTGTCCCGTCGAGTGGAGAAGACAAGCTTGTGCCCTGTCCCAGGTGGCCTGCCTCTCACTCTGGCTCTGATTAATTAATGCCCTCTTTCCCCTCCTCCCATCTCTCCCCAGGTCTGTTGCGGTTCCTCATACTTTTCCATAAGCAGAACAAGAGCAAAATCAAACGTCTTAACGCGTGTAGCGAGATCACGTCCCGAGAGCAGACACACAATGGTGGCAGGCTTGGCGAGCACGAACTAGACCACCTGAAGGGCAGCCCACCACCGTAAATCAGACCTCACTTCTGAATGTAAAAGGTTCACATGCCTTTGGCTTCCTGTTGACTTCCTCCCGACCCAGAAAGCATGGGAAATGTGAAGGGTATGCAAAAATGGTTGTTGGTTACTGTTGCTCCCCATGTCCTTGGCCCGTCCCATGGCTGCCTGTTGCTCCAGCAGATCCCAAGGACTAGCTGACCACAGACTCCACAGACGGGATGGGGGCAGTGTACGGCATGATGGGCAGTTACATATTATTATTTTAAAAGTATATATTATTGAATAAAATGTTTTAAAAGAAGTGGATGTAGAGTTTTCCGTATGGAAGGGGCCATTGACCAAGACCAGAGAGGACAATGAGCAGGCTCTAACTAGAGGGACATGGCGGGCAGGGCCTGAGTCAGGCAGAGGGGAGTGAGCAGCCTGGGTCGCTGCAGAGGCGGGGAGAGCTGGACCTTACCCTGGTGCATTCCCCATCGTTCACCCTCACCTCTTCCACATGAGGAGTGGCTCAGCATGGCCCCCATGGTGACTTCAGGAAGAGGCTGGAAGTCACCCTTTGCTGCTGTTTCTTTAGAGCTCATGCCTCAACATTTTTTTTTTCCTGAGACAGGGTTCCTCTGTGTAACAGCCCTGGCTGTCCTGGAACTAGCTCTTGTAGACCAGGCTGGCCTCGAACTCACAGAGATCCACCTGCCTCTGCCTCTCGAGTGCTGGGATTAAAGGCGTGTGCCACCACCGCCCACTACACCTCAACACTTTATTCTGCCACTCAGTCACACCCACTTCAAGTCTTGGAGACAGGTTGAATCTTCTGTCCAATGGGAGGGTGGGGACCAAAGCCAAAGATTTTTTTTTAATATGTATGTATGTATGTATGTATGTATGTATGTATGTATGTATACAATATTCTTTCTGTGTGTGTGCCTGAAGGCCAGAAGAGGGCACCAGACCTCATTACAGATGGTTGTGAGCCACCATGTGGTTGCTGGGAATTGAACTCAGGACCTTTGGAAGAGCAGGCAATGCTCTTAACCGCTGAGCCATCTCTCCAGCCCCCAAAGATTTTTTTTCCCCCAAAGATGTTTTTTATCCTGTCCTGGGACCACCCCCTCAGGAAAGGTAGGGAAAGCATGTGTGCACGTGCACACACAGAGGCTTCACGCATGTGCATGCGCGCGCGGGTGCGCACACACACCAACCCCAAGGCTTCAGTGGAAGCAGCCTTTGTTAACAAGAAACAAAGCCAGCCTGGAGTGCTCTGTCAATGTCCTCAGTCCTCTCCACTGATCCTAGAACAGCTGTGCAGGGGAAGTAAACACAAGTGAACACAGCTGGGGTTTGTGACCAGCCTCTGGCCACTAATCACTCTGAGCTGCCTGCAGAGCTCAGAGACATGGGCAGTTTGAAGCAGGCAGTGGGTTGGGGTGTAGGCTTGTTCTTCACAAGGGCCACTCTCTCTGCACCCTTCTGCCTCTTGTTTTGAGTGGCCATGTGAATTCAAGTGGTTATGCGGAAAGAATATACCAGCCCCTACGGGGCCACCGTGAACCCACTTATGTCAGATCCGGTCAGTTCTCCAGGTGTGAGAGCTTGACACGCCTCATCCCACCCCACCCCACCGCTGGACACCACTGACCAGTGGACTCAAGCACCTTGCCTTGGTTTCTCCTCCCACCACTGTCTCCTAGAGTGCTTTTCAATCAAGGCTCCAGTTCCATTGGTATCCCAGCATCAGTGACACACTCATGAATCCCACTGGTATCCCAGCATCAGTGACACACTCACGAATTCCACTGGTATCCCAGCATCAGTGACACACTCACTTGCTCTTGTGATGTTCACAGTGGGCATGTGCTGTCCCCACAGGCCTGTCTCAGTTAAGGCCCTGTGCAGATGTGGAGGGTCTCTGCTACAGGTAGGGACGTGGAGATCCCTGAATGCTCATGAAGAGCTGGGAAGGTTAGCTTGGTTTCTCCTCCTTTTTATCCCCAGCTCTCCTTCCCTTCCCAGCATAGAAGTCTTGCTTTTTAGAAAAATGCCTGGCCTATCAGATACTCTTGGGTTTGGGAGGTGGCTGGAAAAGAAAGGGAAGGAGGAGTCTTCACTTTGGTTTTGCCTTTGAGAAAAGGATATGGAGCCTGCTAACCTGAGAACCCGTGGAGCCCTTCCACCGCACGCATGGGCCGTCAGAGGACCCTTACATCATCAGTAGTCCTGTGTGTCTTTCCTGACAGGTTAGCATGCTTGAAGTAAACAATTCAAATGTCATCAAAGTTAATACTTAAGGCCCCTTTAAACCATATTAACTGTTATTCAGTTTGATCTGTTTTTTTTTTCCATGTTCCTATACACCCTTACTAGCTTCTAAAACTTATAGCGACTTTGAATGCTGCAAATTTAAGAAAGTGTTACATTCTTTTTCTAAAACATTTCCAGTTGAGAGCGAGACTCTGAGTCAGCATGTACACATCTGCCTCACCTCTCTCCACGGCTTCAGGACGTTCCACTGTGTGATATGCCTCGGTTAAAGCAATTCCTTCAGAAACTAGGAACTCTTTCTAGTTTTTCGGAATTGCTGATTAAGCAAATCTGCTCCACATTTATAGATGGGCTATACATAGGATAAAAACTACTTTTTAAAGACAACTTTCCCTTCCCAAAATTTTTTTATGTGTGAATGGTGGGATGGGGGTGGGGCGTGGCAGAGCAGGGGGGCAGTGGCCAGAGGGCCCGGAGGTAGAGAAGATGGACTATCCTTCCCAGAATGAAGTTTCTTTTTTTCGGGCTCTTAGCACAAGATTTCTCTCGGATGCACTGTGCTGAGAAGCCAGACTCAAAAGGCTGCATTCCAAATGATACCATTTATGGAGGGATGGAGGGCAGATCGCAGTTGGTGGAGTAAAGTGTGGCCTCTGGGGGTTAGCATCATTTCCTTTTGGGGTGCTGTAGCACAGATGTGATGTTACACAAGCCACCTTTGTCAAAAGTTACCCACCATAAAGGGTTCATCCTTCTGCTGATAAACTTGGAAGTATTTTTAAAAATCATCACACACAGGAGCCCAACAGAGTCCCACATGGTCTTCCCGCTCAGGTTAGCAGGAACCTCGGCAATAGCCCAGGTCCCTGTCCTTCACCTGCCCCCTTAGGCTCTCAGAGTTCAGGGCGCTCCCCTGCTTCCGCTCTGACTAATGTGCATAGCTGCTCATCTCACTACTGAGCCAGACCATCACCCCAGCAGCAGAGAGGTGGAGAGGAAGCTCGGCATGCCACTGTAGTACCTCCCTGTGTGTCCCAGGACAGGTGCTCTAGGGGAATTTCTAGACGACGCTGACCTGGATACCTGCTGCCCCTTTAGTGTTAGCTGCTGACCAGAACCTTGTGCACTGAAAGGGATGTTTACAGCCACTGATGCTTGAAATGACACCTTGGTTATTAAATCTGTGCATTTAAAATCCAGTTTGTGTCGTGTGTGTATAGGTATGCACACACAAGTAGGGGTGTGTGTGTGTGTGTGTGTGTGTGTGTGTGCGTGCATGTCTGGAGGTCAAGATGCAATGTCTTTTTCGGGCATGCTCCATCTTATTTTTGGCACAGGTTCTCTCACTGTGCCACAAG